GGAGTTGAATTTGCAGCTTTAGCTATATGGAGTATTCACAAGACTAGAAAATGATTTGAGATATCACCACTCTGCTGCAGAATTCCAATGTCATTAACATCAATTCCATGTGACAGTATTAAATCTAGAGTTTGGTTATGAAAATGAGTACATCCTGACATGTGTCGTCAAACCCCAATATAGAGGTTAGAATGTCTATAAATGCTGATCCCAGTGCATCTTTTTCAAAATCTACATAAATATTAATGTCACCAAAAATTAAGACTTTATCTGCAGCCAGCACTAGCTCAGATAGAAAATCAGCAAAATTCTTTAGATGGGGCCCTGGTGGCCTGTATACAGTATTCAGTACAAACGTCACAGGGGATTTATCATTAACACTTAACATTACTCAAGATAATGTTATATGAAGCAACATTACTTCAAATTAGTGCTGTCAAACAATTAATCGCGATTAATCACATCCAAAATAAAAGTTTTTGTTTACACGATATATGTGTGTGTACTGTGTATATTTATTTAGTATATATAAAGACACACACATGCGATATATATATTGAAAATATTTACATGTATTTATTTGTTTATATTTATATTCATATAATTTATATTATATATACTGTACATACATTTAATATATAAATATAAAATATTTTTCTAATATATACATGCATGTGTGTGCATATTTATATATACATAATAAATATACACAGTACACACACATATATAATGTAAACAAAACTTTTTATTTTGGATGCGATTAATCGCGATTTATCGTTTGATAGCACTACTTAAAATGAATTATACTTGAAACCTGACCTCTGAGAAATACTGAAAATATTACTTTAAATTGTAGCAACACCTCCCCCTTTAACATTTGGATCTGGCTCATGTTTATAACAGTAATCTTGGTGGGTAGACTTGTTTAAAGTAATGTAATCATCTGGTTTTAGCCAGGTTTCTGTCAAACAGAGCACATCCAGGTTATGATCAGTGATCAAATCATTTACAAAAAGCGCTTTTGTAGAAAGGGATCTAATATTCATTAAGCCAAGCTTTATCATTTGTTTATCAGTATAATATGTTTTTTTATTTGTTGAACATCAATTAAATTGTTACTCTTAAACTGGTTTGGACGTTTTTTGTATTTGTGGTATGATATTAGTACACTAGTCTGTGTAGTATGATATCTAGGTGAAAGAGTCTCTATGTGCTGAGAATTTACTGACTTATCTGACGTGATGCGGCTAGTAGACGGTCAGTTTAGCCAGACTGTCTGCTTCCTGACCTGGGCCCCAGTTAGTCAAGTACAAACTGCCATATTTCTAGAGAGAAGAGAAGCACCACCCCTGGAGGGATGAAAACCATCTCTTTTAAACAGGTCAGGTTTGCCCCAAAAACTTGTCCAAATGTCTGCTCCTGTGGCAGGTTCAAATTCCACAGTTGGCGAAGGAAGTGCAACCTAGGCTGCGCCTTTTTAGCAATGGAGTCTATGTGAGTGTCCCACTTGATGTCCTGAGAGATGGTAGTGCCCAGGATCCACTGTTTTGAGTGTGTTCCGCTCCAGGTTGTTGTGACTGCACTAGACAACAGTCTCTTTAACCTCCTGTCTGTAAGCAGACTCGTCTCCGTTGTGTATGAGGCAGATGATGGTAGTGTCATCTGCAAATTTCAGGAGCTTAACCAAAGGGGTCTTTTGCAAAGCATTCGTTCGTATACAGGGAGAAGAGCAGTGGGGAGAGCACACATCCCTGAAGGGCACCAGTGCTGATCATGAGAGTCTTGGATGTGAGTTTCCTAAGGAAGGTTTCCTAAGCTTCACTAGCTGCTGCTTGTCTGTCAGGAAGCTGGTGAGCCACTGAAAGATTGGGGTGGGCACAGAGAGCTGGGTCAATTTGTCTGAGAAAAGGTCAGGCATGATGGTATTGAAGGCCGAACTGAAGTCTACAAACAAGCAACAACAGTCTGCTATGTATCTCATCACCACGGTAAGCAGGGAGGGGACCAGAGCATATTATTGTGTCTGACATCGTACTTGCAATTGACTGACGAAGTTGAACATCATTAGTGGCTCTAATATATACATGCATGTGTGTGCATATTTATATATACATAATAAATATACACAGTACACACACATATATAATGTAAACAAAACTTTTTATTTTGGATGCGATTAATCGCGATTTATCGTTTGATAGCACTACTTAAAATGAATTATACTTGAAACCTGACCTCTGAGAAATACTGAAAATATTACTTTAAATTGTAGCAACACCTCCCCCTTTAACATTTGGATCTGGCTCATGTTTATAACAGTAATCTTGGTGGGTAGACTTGTTTAAAGTAATGTAATCATCTGGTTTTAGCCAGGTTTCTGTCAAACAGAGCACATCCAGGTTATGATCAGTGATCAAATCATTTACAAAAAGCGCTTTTGTAGAAAGGGATCTAATATTCATTAAGCCAAGCTTTATCATTTGTTTATCAGTATAATATGTTTTTTTATTTGTTGAACATCAATTAAATTGTTACTCTTAAACTGGTTTGGACGTTTTTTGTATTTGTGGTATGATATTAGTACACTAGTCTGTGTAGTATGATATCTAGGTGAAAGAGTCTCTATGTGCTGAGAATTTACTGACTTATCTGACGTGATGCGGCTAGTAGACGGTCAGTTTAGCCAGACTGTCTGCTTCCTGACCTGGGCCCCAGTTAGTCAAGTACAAACTGCCATATTTCTAGAGAGAAGAGAAGCACCACCCCTGGAGGGATGAAAACCATCTCTTTTAAACAGGTCAGGTTTGCCCCAAAAACTTGTCCAAATGTCTGCTCCTGTGGCAGGTTCAAATTCCACAGTTGGCGAAGGAAGTGCAACCTAGGCTGCGCCTTTTTAGCAATGGAGTCTATGTGAGTGTCCCACTTGATGTCCTGAGAGATGGTAGTGCCCAGGATCCACTGTTTTGAGTGTGTTCCGCTCCAGGTTGTTGTGACTGCACTAGACAACAGTCTCTTTAACCTCCTGTCTGTAAGCAGACTCGTCTCCGTTGTGTATGAGGCAGATGATGGTAGTGTCATCTGCAAATTTCAGGAGCTTAACCAAAGGGGTCTTTTGCAAAGCATTCGTTCGTATACAGGGAGAAGAGCAGTGGGGAGAGCACACATCCCTGAAGGGCACCAGTGCTGATCATGAGAGTCTTGGATGTGAGTTTCCTAAGGAAGGTTTCCTAAGCTTCACTAGCTGCTGCTTGTCTGTCAGGAAGCTGGTGAGCCACTGAAAGATTGGGGTGGGCACAGAGAGCTGGGTCAATTTGTCTGAGAAAAGGTCAGGCATGATGGTATTGAAGGCCGAACTGAAGTCTACAAACAAGCAACAACAGTCTGCTATGTATCTCATCACCACGGTAAGCAGGGAGGGGACCAGAGCATATTATTGTGTCTGACATCGTACTTGCAATTGACTGACGAAGTTGAACATCATTAGTGGCGTTGTGAATAACAATCTTACTGAATTTACTTTTAGCATTAGCCAGCACTTTTAAATTTGCCACGATGTCAGGCACATATCAGTAAACATTGGACTATAGTGGCTGCTGTCTCTATTTTCACGTTCCATACAATAGAATCACCAATAACTAGGGCACTTTCATCACGTTTCTCAGTGGGTGTGTCATTGAGTGGGGAGAACCTGTTTAATGTTTTGATCGGAACAGAAGAGCGGTGTTTTTTCCCACGACTATGCCGCCTCACAGTCACCCAGTCGCCCTGCTGTGGGGCCTCTGCAACTAGAACCGAACAATGAACAGGACTCGTTAAGCTAGTCGCATCCAAAGCTGTATCTAAGGCCCTCACATTCTTACTATCCTCAGTTAAAGATTGGATGCATGTCTCTGGTTCTACCAGAAACATTCGGTAGGCAAGAGAACATCTGAATAAAATGTATTTAACAAGTAGTATTCAAATTGTTAGATGATAAGAAATAATTCTTTGGCGTAGGCCCGTCCATAGTTCGAATCCAGAGAGATGTGGATGCGTGCAGTTCCTGCCTGAAGATGAAGGCAGGGACGGAGCCTATCCCCTGATGCATGGACAGGGACTGACCTGGTGGTGGTGGGGAGGATGGGGTTGAACAGCGGCAGCAGTATCGGCGAACACAGTAATGAGTGAGAACAGAACTAATATACTCCAGGTGTCGAGTGATGAATCGCTAGATCTAGGAGTAATTAATGACGTCACATTAGAGTCTTCCTGGTTGAACTTGCGCTAGAGTTCTCATTTCTGAAATCGTCTCTGTCAGCTTAACTATTTTCCTGCATTTATCACATGTTGCTGCTGACAGAGAAAGCTACACTATACATGTGGCAAGCAGTGCAAGTAACAATAACAGGAGAATCCATTACTCACCGTGATTGTTGAATGATTCCAACTTACCAGTTCTTACCAGTTGTACAGTTGATTGATGAAATCGTGAAAGAAAAACAAGATTCCAACAGAAAAACAAAGCTACACACACACACACACACACATTCACCCCTATTGTAATTCTTTTCTTTGTTGCACACAGATATGATCATGGAGAATGCAAGGCAAATTCTGAAAAGAGTCACTAATTCAGATCAAATGGATAAAGGCAGCAGGAAGAAGGCAACCATAGGGATTTTTGGAAAATCAGGAGATGGAAAAAGCGCCCTATTAAGTGCAGTCTTGGGGAAACAGGATCTCCTACTGTCTGATTGTTTTAGTGCTTGTACAGCTGTTGTTACTCAGGTGGAAGCCAATCTTACGGACTCCAACTACATAGCAGAGATTGAATTAATCTCTAAAGAGGTTTCCTCATTTATCTTACCATGCCTTTAATGAGAATTCTTTATAAATATGTAAATAAATCAGATTGGCTGGAACAGAACTAAGCCTTAATTTCCTCTATACTGTGTGCTGTGTACCTCTGCATGAGTGGGAGAAAGAGCTCAAAAAACTTTTTAGAGATATAAAAGATGAAGATGAGGACGATGATGATGACTTGAAGGAGGTTGCTACAGAAAAGATCACTATGCTATATGGAGATGATGCAGACCAGAAAACATTAGAAGAGCTCCAGAATGATGAAAAATTTGCTGAGATTGAAAACTTTTTATCTGTCAGTAAGAAAATAATCTCAAACAGTAATGTAAGTGTTAGGACAACGATTAATATTTAACATATTATATGTATTTGTCAATTTGCTTTTCAGCAAAGTAAAACAAAGCAATTTATCATCTCAACAGGCATATGAATTTACCAACAATGTTGCAAATTACGTACAACACAGTGAGTCAAGTTCTGGTGACTGGTTCTGGCCGCTTGTGAAAACTGTGACAATCAAGATTCCAGACTGTCATGAACTCCTGGAGCACATTGTGCTTCTTGATATTCCTGGGAGTGGAGACTGCAGTAGGACTAGAGATGACTTGTGGAAATCTGTAAATATATTATTACACTTTTTTAAAAGGAGTCTTTTGCCAAATACATTGTACAACCACACAATAAATCTATTGTGTCACTATGAACCCTAACTAAGTCCCCTAACTCACTATTTTAATTCCTGTAGAAACTGAGAGAGTGCTCTTCTGTGTGGATTGTAAGTGAAATCAAGCGAGCAATCTCTGACAGAGACCCCTGGGGGATATTAAAGCACTGCATTGAAGAACTGGGACCGGGAGGAAAATGCAAAAGCATCAACTTCATCTGTACAAAGACCGATGACTTCAATCCAAAAGAGTATATGAGGTATTTTGTGAATATTCAGCCTGGTCTCATGTTTATACGTAGGTATTAATACGTAACATTTACAAGCACAAAACATACGCTTTTGTAAGTTTTTAATCATGCTAAAACGTACAATTTAGACGTGTTTCAACGTTTAAAACGTACAAATCGCTACGTATTTTTAGCTAAAAAACTTAAAAATATTTACGTATCTTTTATATCATTTAGATATTCGTATCAATGCATTTTTATCAATAAGCGATTTCGATTTTTAGACCCCTTAACCTGCCCCCAAACATAAACCTACCCATTTTACAGCGAATATGCATTTTTATCATTTTATTAATACGCAATTTAGATTTTTAGACCCCTTAATCTACCCCCAAACCTAAACCTACCCATTTTATAGAGAATATAAAGGATATACAACGCAAATGACCGAAATACGCAGGAAAATAAAACTTTTAGTAACAATATAGCATTAA